GATCAGAACCTTTTTTTCTATTGTTGTTAACCTAAGGAAAAGCCACAACTAACTGTCTGGACTATGATATTGGGATTGAGAGGTGAGTGTCCAGAAAGCCTTCTATGGATAACCATATGTCCATATCCATAAGATCTCAATTGATTGTCCATTACTACAGAATCTAGCACATCCTTAAGCAACTAAGGAAAGCTAGAATAAAGTGCCTTCAGCACCTCGCTGATTAATATTTTGCATTATTGAGCAGGCCACATCTTCACTGGTTATTTTCTAATAGTTTTGTTTTTTTTTAAAAAAAAAATTGCACTTGAAAGTACAGTAGTTTCTCTTGATATTTCATGTACAGAATTTATTCTAGTTGTGCGTCAAAACTCAAACTAACAACAGTATGTTTGTGTCAAAAAAGTAGAAAGAAATTTACAAGCTACATGCTTTCGGCATTTATATAAGAATGCATGTATAACCTATGTGTTACCAAGGCAAACCATAAAGTGTAGATTGTTCATTGTGTTATTTTTACTTCGTCTCACTAGGACTGGAATGGAAGGCTTTAATATGATTGAGGATAGCCATGGCTGGCCCCGCAGATCTGGACGACTCCCCTCAACTCAGGTACATCACTATTGTCCACATCATCATCATCAATACCAACATCAGCAAACATTGATATATCAGGGACCTCAAATTACCACGGTGAGGATGCCAGTGATCACTAGCAACGAGGTAATTCAATACTATGGTACCATGGTGGAGGAGCCTATTATTGCTAGCAATGAGGTGTCTCGATATAATTAAGGTGGTGTGATGAAAGAGCGTTTTATCACTAGCGATGAGCAACTTAATATGATGGTACAAAGAAACGATTTCGTTTAGCTTATTGGGTTTCATGCAGTTACTGAACATATATACTTGTTATCATGTATGAGTAATATGAGTAATCCGAGTCACTTGGTTTTAAATCTCCCGGTTTCTTACTCGTAAGTGAAGCTTCTTGATCTGCTAAAGAACCTTGTAAATTCTATCTTTAGGGCTTCTGTTGTCGCGCAGTTCACTTATCTATAATGTAAGATCTTTCTGTGTCTCTCTCTTTGTATGTGCAAGTTGTGTGTTAGCAGCATCATCATGAAGTTTTAGTAAATTAAAAGCGGATGCCCAAGAACACATATCTTTAGCCATAGCAATCAGATTTTAATTGTAAAAAAGCAAAAATACCAAACTATAAAAGAAAAATAGATGAAAGTTTGTCTAGTCTATCCAACACTTTAATTAATCCATGTGCTCGATGAAGAGATCACAGACTTTCTTGTTAGACCAGAGACCTTTTTTTCTTATGTGAAAATAATTTTACTTATATTATTGCATACTATGATCTGAAGACTTCTTTCCCATTAAAAGAAGAGTAATTATATATCTTTATGGACAGTTAATTAACAAGTCTCAAAATATACAACCTATCGTACAAAACGTTTTAGGAAAAACTTATTTAACGTGAAAAATTTATTATTTAAATAGTTAATGGCCACAAGATAACGTTTTAATTTTAAGAAATTAAAAGGTAATTAACATTGTGATGATATTTCTTACTTTAAGCCAAATGAGAACAAGAAAACAACAGCTAAGGCAAGGAAAATGAACATACTCATAGGCAAAAGCCTAGGAAACCTAGGAAGTAAAGAACAAAACAAAACAACATGCGAAAATAAAAAAAAAATGAAAACAGAAAAGAGAAAAGAAAGCAGCCAAAAGAAAAGTCTTCAATAGCCATTTCGAAGAACAAGAAATATATGAAGGATTATGGGCTTTGATGATATTGCTCGGCATATGGTTTTGCACTTTGCATACAAATTGTTCACCTAGGATGGTGAAGGGCTATTGCTTGTGCTCAGGTTCATCTTTGTTGTGGAGCTAATTTTATAAAATTAACCAATTATGCTAATATGTAGGAAAATAGAAGATAAAAGAACAAAAATAAGAATAAGTAGACAATTAATTGCTATTAATATTACTTGCCATCAACAACTTTTTTTTATTTAGGATTAACACCATTATCATCTTTAATTTAAACAATGAAATAAATATTTTAAATTAATGTTTAGTTAATCCATTTTCTTGAGAAAGTTAATTAATGAGAGATAGAATGTGATGGGAAAAAAGAAAGAAAGAAAGGTAATATTTTGAAATGCAAGTGGAGGAAAGAATAAAAATAAAGTGTAGATATATATAGAGAGAAAGAGAATAATTTAAAGTTGGAAAGTGATTGGAATAGAGTGGGAGAGGTAGATGGATAATAAAAAAAAGGTGAGAAAATGAGAGAGGAAGAGTGTAAGAGAGAAGCAGAATGAGAAAATATGTTAGTAAAAGAGATAGAGGGGTATAAATAGATTGTAAATGAGAGGGGAGAAAATTGGAATAAATTTAAAAAAGTGGGATGCTGAAATTTTTAAAATTTGAGGAGTTTGTGACAGATTTGTGTCAACCAAAATTTATTATTGCAAATTTAGATCACAAATTATATGTATATATATATTATAAACGAATTGTATAATTCTATGATTTATGACAGTAAAAGAGAAAAACTCTCGCTTTTTTTTTCAAGATTCATGCAGGGGAAAAAAAACCTGAAAAAAGAAAAGCGAAATTTATAATATGGACAAAAGATTTGTATTCTTGTAAAGTGAATTAAATTAATATAAATTATTCTTAGAATCTTGTCCAATAGTTTTGCATTGAACTGATTTTTTTATATAATATTAAGCATTTAATGACTTAGCCATGACTGGTTATATTATATCGTCCCCCATTCTTCAAGTTTAACACATACCATCTTCAGTCTTTCCTACTAAATTGAAAAGACTTCGTCACATAATCTTGGTGATATATGCAAGTTTTAAATCTTAAAAATACAAATCACTATAATTTTATGTATTCACAATATCTATGATGATAGGATTAAACTCGTTATCTGATAGCTTTGATACTTCTTTAGACAAGAACGTTCTTCTATTATCACTTTTTTTTTTAAATCTATAAAACTATTATATTTAGTAGTGAATTTTGTCTACTTTAAAGTCATCAGATAGAATTTTTTTGTTATCATTTCTTAAAATTTAATGCATTGAGCTTTTAAAATTTTTCGTCCTATACCACAACAAATAATGATGACGAAATCTTTTCTATTAAAATAGTATTTACAGAATTAATATTGGTTTAAGCATCCACATCTTGAGAAGAAGTTATGATTTATAATCTAAAATAATATTCAAATTTATACAATTAATTATGACTTCTAAAAGTACGAAACACAAAAAATAGTAAATAATATTTTATAAGAGTTATATAGCATGGAATTAATAACGAAGTTTATAAATTAATTAGCATTGATAAACTATATAATCATAAATTAAGACAAAAAAAAAGTAAAAATTAAAATATAAAATATTGTTATAAAAAAATCCTATAGCAATTATTTATATTTAATTTTGTTCAACTAACAGTACTTTAAATTGTCACATTATATGTAATATGATTACTATATAAATTTCATGCAACTAGAATAGAATTTAAGTTCGTAAAACTAAATGAATTAAATACATTCTTATTTCTTAAAGATACGTGTAAAGAAAGTAATAGATTAAACAAATTGTGTAGTAATAATTAATTACTTGTTAAAGCATTTAAAATATGATTTAGATGAAAATATATTGTTGTTAAGGATTAATTATTTGTTCTTAAAGCTTTATTTCTAATTTATTGGTGCAAACTAATCATCAACCTCTCAAATTCTAATAATACCATCTTATTTAGTCATACTTCTAAAAAAGTCCACAAATTCAAGGCAATATGATTCAATATATCTACAATATAACATAATTTAAACTGTAGAGTAGAAAAAAAAAACAAAGAAAAACATCAAAGCTTAAACCGAAGGAAGGTACACCACACCGGAAAAGACTTGGGTGAAGAACAGTTTGAAAATTTGTGTAAAACACTCTTTCTTTAACTCTTTTCTATAGTGGGTTAAGAATTAATTTTGATATATCATAATTAATTTCTACCATTTATCAACTTTATTACTTGTTATGAAAAAAAATTAACCTAACAATTTTTTTTTAAATCTGATTTTTTTATTTAAATGAAAACTATTTAGTTTAAGGAACAAGACTATAAAAATAAAACTGGGCTTGCAAAAAATATTTTTTCATAACTAACCTACACCCGGGATCCAATGCCCAGTTTGCTTAGATTATCTCCTCTTTTGATTATGTAATTAACTATTAACTATGTTTTAAAACTAAATTTATTACGCATATAACTATCAAGCAACTATTTTGTCATTTTTTAAATAGAGGAGCCGGTAAATTAATAACTCATCAGAGGGGAAAAAGAGCTTGCGCAATTATTTTATTGCCAGTGACTCCTTGCTAAACTTAGAGTAAGATGTGTTATAGTTACTAAAAAAAATTATAATTTAAAGAAAGGTTGGAATATAGTATTAATTAAGTTACAGCAAATTGACGGTTATATAATAAACGTTGGTTAGCTTTAGATAATCAGAAATAGAACAGGTTTTACTCTCATAGACCGAATATATCTATCACATGCTCTTGATATTTTGTCATTTCTTCCGGGATTTAGTCCGAATATCCTCCTCTAAACCAGAAAGAATTAATGTCTAGTAATTGCTTGGGAGCAATACTGGTGATGAATGTAGCTAGATTATTAAAGAGCTTATATATAGAGGAGGAGAATAAGCCAACTATAAGGGAAAATACCACTGCTCCTAAATCTAGGGAAAGGCAACATTAAAGATGAATGCCTACCTCACGGCTAACCAGAATTATCTGGGAGTTAGACAACCTATAAATAGTTTGTGCCTCTACCTGTCTGTTTTACTACAAACATGGTATAAAGAAAGAAGAATGGAAAGATAGTTTGCCACAATTACATCGGACGAGCCTCCTAGCGAGGCTTTTTAATTTGTGGAGAAGGAGAAACATACAATGGCTATTACAATGAAATCTTTGGCAAATGCCCTACTTATCTTGTGCTTATTAGCCGCCTCTTGTGAGGCAAAGGGTCTGGGACGCAGCGCTCTTGCCGCAATATCACCTCGCCGGACTGCTGGTAGAAGAGACCCAAATGAAAAGGTCTTCAACGTGTTACAGTACGGAGCAAAACCTGGAGGAAAACAGGATAGTGCGTTGGTAAGGAGTTGATATTTAGAATACCATGTATGTTCATAATATAAAAGTTGGAGTTTTTCAGGACGAATATGTAACATTGAAATTGAAGCATGACAATGGTTGTAATCATCTGTTGAAAGAAAATAAAATTTGATGGGGGGTTTAGAATATTATAATTGGCAAAAATATCTGAACTTTCCCTTGATTTTCATTTTGATGAAATTGATTAAAAAGTGGGTTTGGCCTTTGCAGTCTTTCATCCGAGCATGGAGGGCTGCATGCAATTATAGGGGAACGGCAAGGCTACTTATCCCCATGGGAACCTTCTTGATAGGAGCAACTATCTTCCAGGGGCCATGCCTAGGTCCAGTACCCATTAAGGTTCAAATTGCAGGAACACTGAAAGCTGTACCAGACCCTAGCATGTACGAAGAAGATTTCTGGATCTTGTTTGAAAACATTAACGGCTTGCTGGTTACTGGTACAGGCACTGTTGATGGCCAAGGCAATGCTGTCTGGAAATACAACGACGGTGGTTCCAGGTTCCCTAGTGTAAGCAACAAAATTATCTTGACATACATGCACTTGCTAATCAGTAATTAGAGAATATGGGATTAATTGCAATTTCATAATGATCTTCATTCCTTTTTTTTCTTTTCTGTATTTGTGGCGCAGTCTATAAAATTCAATCATGTAGCCAATGGGATTATAAGACAGATCACCTCTGTTAATCCCATGGGTTTCCACATATCCATCGTTCTGTCCCAGAACATCAGGGCAAAACATCTTCATATAACAGCTCCTGCGACGAGCCCCAATACCGATGGAATCCATATAAGCCAATCCAGTGTAGTGAAAGTATCCAGAAGTGTTATCAGCACCGGTGATGATTGCGTTGCCATAATTCAAGGAAGCACCGATGTCAGCGTTAAAAAGGTTACTTGTGGGCCTGGACATGGCTTCAGGTAAGTCTCTGTTGAAATTTTCCGTAAACACGATCGCTCTGTATTTATTTTATGAATATACTTGGAGGAACCAATTTTGCTACATATGTTCCTAAGAACCTTTCCTTGTTTATAACTTACATATATATATATATACACAACAGCGTTGGTAGCCTTGGCAAGTACCCTGATGAAAAGGACGTGAGAGGAGTCGTCGTGACAAACTGCACACTAAGGAACGCTGACAATGGAGTTAGAATCAAAACATGGGGAGGATCACCACCAAGCCAGGCTTCAAACATTCTTTTCCAGGATATTATCATGGACAACGTTAAACGCCCCATTATTATCGATCAAACCTATGGATCAAAAAGCAACTCGGTTCGTTTTCTTTGACTAAATTATTTTAACAAGGCTTCTTTCATCCTTCACGGCTACTTGGAGATCGATGAAAAGTTTCATATTGGTTTTTAATTTTTGGCAGCCATCAAGGGTAAAGATCAGCGATGTTCGATATATAAACATCAGAGGAACCTCCGGGTCAGAGGTTGGAGTCGATCTTAAGTGTAGCGAGGCTGTTCCTTGTGAAAAACTCTACTTTTCAAACATCAATTTGAAGTATTATGGGCCAAAGAAGCTACCATTCACTTCTACGTGTACGAATGCAAAAGTCAACTATGTTGGCAACCAATTCCCACCACCTTGTCGATAGGACTTAATTGTAGTTGGAAATTTCGTTCTTAATTTCTTTTATACAAGGAGATGGTTCTTTTTGCGATTTGAATAAATTAGTTTGTATCTCTTTAACATATCATGCTACTTTAATTTGCTTGTAATTGATTGATTACGCACGCACGCTGCAAATATCACCGTTCCGTTGATGATATATTACACCTTCACATTTTCTGGTGGTTTGTTTGTTGAAAAATCAGTGTAGGAAAAGCTTATGGAGAGTAATTCAAAATAGTAAAGTTAAAGAAAAAGAAGAAAATTTGAGAGAAAGGAACATTTCATTAAAAAAAAAATTATGTAATTTTTTATTACATTTAATCACCTTGCTTATGATTACAAGCTTATTTAGAAGCTTAAAATTCTAAACCACCAAGAAATTATACTAAGTGTCGCACGTGTACGGTGTTGCGGCGAGTTTTCCATTTTATCAATGAACGTGTATATGGTGCCTATCTGGCAAATGTGAGGAGACAAGAAAATATTGTCTTTTATCGGTGGAAAATAGAATGAGAGTCACCACCTAGTATTTTGGTCACTAGAAACCCTAACTAGTCTTAGAGATCGGGTACGGGGACTGGTTGCGTAAAGGGAAGGTATTAACACCCCAAATACGCCTTACCTAAGGTAAGCTGCATTATTTGATTGTCTGATAAAAAGCTAAGGTGTTGTTGTATTTCTAGTTGTTGGTCTGTCTATGGTTCAAGAAAAGTTCTCCTCAATAAGGAGATCCTTACTTATCAGGTAACTCTGACCTAAACACAAGAATTTAATATTCGGAATATGTCTTACGTATAAGATCGTAACCCTAGATATTAAAAGAAAACAAAATAATTTTTTGGAATTTTTGAAATATTGATTTAGTTCTCATTGCTTGAATAAACTGGTTATTAAAGCCAAAATGCATGCTAATACATATAGTTTTTTGGAATTTTCTTTGTTGTATGAAAATATGATGTGATGATTTTTTTCATATATATATATTAGAGAGACTAGGTCGTATGCATGAAAACAAAATATTTTATATTTTTATATTTTTTTTATGACTTAACGAAAACCGAGTATTTTAATACCGGATTTGTATCTTTACAATATAAAAATACAAACCGATATTGATCAAAATGCAGTAGAAAAATTGCAGAAAATCATAGATTTTTTAAAATAATTCTTTGAATGGGCTAGACCTGGCCCAAAAGAAAACTAGGCCAAAATCAGCCCAAAATAAATTAAGGTCTGGTTTCTACAAGGCTAAACTCAGCCCAGCCACATGGGCTGGGCTGATGTTCCAGCCCAAAACAAACATGGACTGGTACTGTGCACCTGCACAGTAACCGGGTTATTGTACAGGTGTACAGTACCAGTTAATTAATTATCTGGTTATTGTGCACATGCACAGTAACCGGGTAATTATCTTCTTGCTTGCAGAACGTGCACAGTGCACGTTTTGCATGCAAGAAGATGAACAATAAAACGAGATAAGGGGCAGAGGGCTGACCTGTGATGGCTCTGAAGGCAGTGCTACTGGTGGTTGCTGACCGGAGGATGGCTGAGACGGTGGTCGGCCTTTTTTCTTTTTCTTCTCTGTGTTTTTTTTTCTTCTACTCTGTTCTCCTTTGCTTCTGTTTCCTCCTTCTGTTGCTGACAGTATTCTTCCCTCTCACGGTGGTTCTACTGTTATTGGCAGCGCTAATGGTGGTGGACTGGCGGAGGTTCTAGGGAGGTGAGGCACGGTTCTTCTTCTTCTCTCGTAGAGGCCCCAGTCTCTGTCTTTCTCTCCTCTCTACTGTTTTGACTCTCTTTCCTCTCTACACTCTCACAGAATATCTTCTCATTTCAAACTTCCCTTCCCTTTCAGTTTTCCCAAAAGCCCCCCCTCTATTCTTTCGTTTCTTCCTTCTTCTCCCGTTCAAAACAAAAAAAGTGTCCCTTCTTTCCTCCTCTCCCCCCCTTATGCTCAGTGTCTTTCTCTGGCTTTTATAAGCCAAGGAGAGCCTTGCGGTGATAATGGTACTCGGGACAAGCCCTAAAACATGTCCCATGATTTGAGCAATTTGCTGCAAACCGTATCCCTGTTTTAATGCTGAAAATGGCTTTCTTTTTTTTTCTTTTAAAATTTTTTTATATATATTTTTTGTATTTTTTCATTTTTATTTTTTTGTTTTGTGGGAACCCAAAAATAGGTAACAATACTAAGTAAAGAAAATCTTATTTTAAATCAGAAAAATAATTAATTATGCCAACTTAACTCATAGATCAATTCTCAACCAATAGACTGGTTTATTTAATTTTATTGGTCGATTAGTTTCAAACAAGTAAATCGATTCCTCTGCTTTTAGAAAATCTAGAAATCTAGTTTTTTTCATCATTCACCCTTAAACTTGATCTCTTATAACTCCCAGCATATCTCTCATCTTGGTAAAAATATCATGTTTGAGTAGCTTAATAAAAATATCTAAGATTTGATCTTGGGTTTTTACATTCTTAACTTCAAATTCCTTGTTTGTATTGCAATCTCGTATATAATAAAATCTTATATTAACGTGCTTACTTCTATTATGAAATATGCGAACCTTTACTAAAGCAATAATTAATGAGTTATCCAAATAAATTTTTTTTAGGCTTCTCTTATGGCATTCACAACTCTTTCAATGATTTTCTTAGTTATATGGAATGACAAACATATATTATAGCAGTTACATATTCAACTTCATAAGTTAATAATATGATTATAGATTGTTTCTTCGAACTCTATGTGAATGTTGTGTTTTGTATGTAGAAGATAAAACTCATGGTGCTTTTTCTATCATCCATATCTTCAACCCATTTATTATCACTATAACCCATAAGTTAGAGTAACCATAAAATAAGCCAAAATCTATGGTACTTTTGATATATCAAAGATTTCACTTCAAAGCTTTAAAACGAGTCATAGTTGGTGTCTTCACGAACTTGCTCACAAGTCTTACTCCAAAGAGAATATATGAACGAGTGCATGTCAAATATCTCAAACTCTCAACTAGGCTCTTAAATGTTATAGAATTTATCTATTTTCTTTCATCATTCTTTAGCGAATTCACTTCACACTCAATTGGAGTATTTACTTTTGTATAATCCTCAATCTCGCATTTTTGGAGAATCTCTTTTGAAAACTTGACTCACAAAGATTCCTCTATCTCCATACATATATATCCAAATTCATCTTACTTCTCTTTTGCAAGGAATTTTTAGAAAAGCGCTTATGCACCCATGTCTTCTTAAATTTTATTGACTCTTTTTTTCTAGACTTGTAGTTTTTCCATGAGACCTTGAATATTAAAAAAATCAATATTTGGTGATTCCTTTATCACAACCGTAACATAGTGGAATTTCTTTGCAATGAGTATAAAATCTTTTCTACCACACATGTTTCTTTATCCCCGTATATTTTCATATGATTATATATGGCCAAAACTTTAGCAAAGTAATCTGAAATACGTTCTAGTTCAAGCATATTCAATCTTTCAAATTCACCATGTAACTTTTGTAGGTGCGCCTTTCTTACATTATCAACTCCTTAGTTTGATTGTTGCAAAAAATCACATGTTTACTTGGTAATGGCTGTGTTAGCCACTATATCAAAAGTAACATCATCCAAACACTAATGAATAATTGTAAATATTTGTTGATCCTTTCTAAGTGCCTTTTGCACTATTTTTCTTTGAGCTAAAGTCAACATTATTTCTTTTATAGGCTCCTCGAAGCTTTTTTTTTTAAAAATCATTTTCAACATATTTTGAAAACCTAATTAGGCTTTCACATAAATATACTAAATTTCATATTTTACGAAATGAAAACATTGAAGTGGAAAGTTTATTTTGATCATGTCAAACACTTAGAACAAATTCTGATATCAATTGTTGAAAGAAAAATTATTAGAGTAAAAACTTATGGATGGTAATTTAAAATAGTAAAGCTAAAGAATAAAAAGAAAATAAAGAGGAATGAATGTTTGATTAAGCATTTTCTTTTTTATACATCTTTTTTATAATTACATTTATACATTATATTTTTATTTACAAGTTTATTTATAGGTTTAAATTCCAGGACAATCAAGGAATTATACTAAGTAAAACAAATATTATTTTAAATAAAAAAATTATCTTATCAATTTAACTAAGCAACCAGTTCATTTAATTTATCCAGTAGATGATTCTCAACTAGTAAATCAGTTTTTTTATTTTTCAAAAAAAAATAAAAAATCTAATTTATTTTTAACAATGTACAGGGTATCTGTGTGATGAATATTGCGAGCGGTCG